TCAATCCATTGATGTTATCGCCACATCGAAATTCGCACTCCTTATCAGTTTGTTATCAATGGGAAACATTTGGTTCCAGACTAATAACATCACCATCTCATTACTCAAATATATTTCATCTAATAACTATACTAATAAGATACCATGCATCTTATTACTCGTTCGACCAATAACATTCTAATAACTATACTCACTAGATATATTACTAGTGCAAAAAGTAATGAGTAATAATATAGGTTCATCTTATTAGACTAATAAGTAATAAGACCACTAATAAGATACCGAAAATGCCAAAGTATATGTTGATTCAAAATGTCGAAAATACAGCAGCTCACAACACAATACCGAAAAGTTTTCAACTATTGCATCAAAGTTTAATTACCGTTCATTTTGTCATTTTATATAATAACAAATATTTTTTGGTTTTGCTATTCGATTTACCGAAAAACGATGAGCATAAATCACTTTGGCACACTGTAACATGAAAACCAGTATTTTTCGGGTTGTGTGAAAAATTGTGTCGAGTGTTCGATGGTAGAAAATTGTATGTGCGTTGTTTTTGTTGTTGTTCCATTTACAGATGCGGTTGTGATGACTGCGTAATTTCACGCCTCGATGACTCGCTTCGACATTCACGCTCTCGAATAAATGCATATCGGGCTTTGGCCAGTCCAAGTTTAATATCACTTTCGTCAAAGGATCCAATATTGACCGCTTTCGAACTCTCATGGGAACTGCGACGTTTAAGCTTTTTGGAGCATGAATTCAAGGTAATGCTGCCGCATTTCGTCTAATCCATTATAATCGTAATATTATCAAAATGATACCAACAAAAAAGCACCCAGGTTTGACCAACGCAAAAATCGATTGTTTATTCAAATTGCAGAGTGAATATCAGGAATTGAGACGACAGTGTCAAGACTTTGGTACAGCCCTATTGGATCACACACGAACTTCAAACGAACTTGAAGTTATGCTAAATCACGATCCAACCAATTTATCTGGACCAATGTTTGAGCACGGCGAACGAATGCATCTGAACCGCTTGAAATTGGCAATCAAATTACGACAAAAAAAGGTTTTGATCTCACTGAATCACTTTATTTACCTTATTTTCTCCCTTTCGAAACTCTCAACAAAGGGAAAGTGGGGAAGAAAGAAGAAAAGAAAGAACCGTTCAATCAATTTCATAAAGTTATGCCATTCTTCAGCAAATATTCACAATGTAATGCGTTTTTATCGTCTCGTTTGTTATACTCACAGTTTGTAGCCCATCCGAATGTACAGCAGTTGTTGGCAAGTATATGGTATGAAGGTGAGTGTATGAGAATGGAATTCAAAATTATCTACTTATCATTTGTTTTGCAATCGATGAGACTTCTTTTCTTATTCACTCCATCTAGGTTTACCTGGGTTCCGGCGAAAAAATATGGCCTTACAAACACTTGAAATCGTCCGAATCGGTAAGATTGACCAGAGAAAAGAAAATCAGTAACACCATATGAAAACATTACATATTGCATGTGGGGAATATTAACTAAAGCTTCGATTCAGCATAAATAATCAATAAAACTTTTTCTCTTCTGGTTCTCTTCTGCAGGAATACTTTTTCCACTGTTTTCAATCACTTACATAGTAGCTCCGCATTCACGAATTGGTCAAACGATGCGAAAACCGTTTATTAAATTTATTTGTCACAGCGCTTCATACTTCACATTCCTGTGTAAGTATTTGTATTGCTGATGGAATAAAAGTGAAAATGGAATTGCTCAAAACATTGAGGCAAATCCATTTAAACTTTTTCGTATGTAGAGAGTTAAGTTTACGTTTTATAACATTTTGTACACATTTACGTAACGTACATAGTTTGAATTTAGTGGAATTCGGTGTTAAATTAAAGTACTTTTCATGCCATTCAGAGAAGACATTCTCTTGAATTCAAATACCTTTCGCTTTTTTTCCTGCTCGTTCAATTTCGTTTTCAATTTTAATTGCATACCTTCCTTCATTCATTCTCTCCGGGCAATCTGTGCTTGTGAATTCAATCATTCTGTTGCCGTTAAATCGTCCAACTGACCAACGAACTGACCACAACCATCCAACCAACCCCATTGAATCGAAATGTCGGTGAACATACACATAGTTCTGTTAATGTTAGCTTCTCAACGAATTGAGTCTGTGGTTGGAAATTGGTTATGGGCCAACGATCGAACCGGCTCGCTCGATTCCGACGACGAAGTACCGACAAAGCGTGGCGCGACACCAACGGCTATTGAATGGATGATTCTGGCCTGGGTGAGCGGTAAGTTAATCTATGTAAACGGTCCCATATACCATGTCGTATTTTTTCTTCTTTTTCCGTTCAGGTTTAATCTGGAGCGAAGTGAAACAGGTGATGTTCTACATTTTTATTTACAACATCCATACAATTGTTGGGATTCGAAAGGAGAGTGTGTGATTTGTCCTTCGATTCTCGAGGAAGTGAAATGTTTATCATTGTTTGAATATTATTGGTTGACACTGTTTTTTTTTAGCTATGGGATATTGGCCTACAGGAATATGTGAATGATATGTGGAATGTTATAGATTTTGTAACGAATTCATTGTACGTTGCGACTGTGGCATTGCGGGTGGTGTCTTATTTTCAGGTATTTATTTACATATCGCTGCATATTGTTTGTCGCAAAAACACTTGACGCGCGATAGAAAACGTGCTACAGTGTGCCGATACCATTTCCGGTGCGAATTCAAATGCAAACCGATATGTTTGTGTATTCGTTGTAGGTACAAAAAGAAATGGTCAACAATAAGAGTGCAGCGGATTTACCGCGTGAACAGTGGCATTCATGGGATCCAATGTTGTTATCAGGTTTGCTATTTTTTCTCTCTCTCTTTCTCGCTCGCATTCTCTTCATTCTATTCAAGGCTGGATCAACGTAGTCCATTGAAAAGTTTTCATTGTTACCGCACAAATTGAAATCCATTTCAATTAACTTTGTACCATTCTTCTTGTACTCGTTCCATGACAGAGGGCCTATTTAGTGCGGCGAATATATTCAGTTCGCTGAAATTAGTTTACATATTCTCGGTGAACCCACATCTGGGTCCACTTCAAGTGTCACTTTCACGTATGGTTATGGACATCATGAAGTTTTTCTTCCTCTATGTGCTCGTGTTGTTCGCCTTCAGTTCAGGTCTCAATCAATTGCTATGGTAATTATTGTTTATGTTTATTTATTGTAACTTTTGCCATGAAGTTGAAGCTCGTGCTCTTCATTAATACAGTGCATTATTTTCATTCCAAATGAATTTTTATCGATATCCTTTGCGTACATACTTCAGGATACATTTCAATGCACATTCATTATAGATTCTTCTTTCATTCGATATCCCCTGTCCTGTTAGGTACTATGCGGACTTGGAGAAGAAGCGTTGCCCAGAGATGAATATGGCCAGCAACAATATGACTCCGAATGATTCGCAGATAGCAACAGATCACAATGCATGCTATGTTTGGCGTCGATTTGCTAAGTAAATAAACCCTTCCGCTGTCCGTTCATTGTACGAATTTCTCTACGATTTCGTGCAGTATGATGGCTTTTCCTTCAAAACTTTAAAGTTTTAAGCTATTGTGAAAAGTTTCCAAAGCTTGAATTTCAAATTGAAATTTGAGTTCGAATTGAAAGTTCTTTGATTCATTGGCGAAGTTTTTAATGGACTCTTGCTTTTTTAACTTACTGATAGCATTGTTTACACATTCTTTTTCCACCATTCCTTTTTTCCTTTTCCATGCGCAGCTTATTTGAAACGACACAAACACTTTTCTGGGCTGTTTTCGGCTTAGTGGATTTGGACAGCTTCGAATTGGAAGGCATTAAAATATTTACACGTTTCTGGGGAATGCTGATGTTTGGCACCTACTCAGTCATCAACATTGTGGTTCTGTTAAATCTCCTTATTGCTATGATGAATCATTCGTACCAGTTGATTTCGGTTAGTATTTACTACTGTGTATTAAATAAAAAAGCATTTTTAAAGCTTATGTCTCGGGCAATATGCGATGAAGTGAAATGGAGGAAGAAACGACGAATATAAAGAAAATGTTGCCCAATAAACACTATTAAAAATACATTTGTATCCGGTTTGTTCCGCTTCTAATGCTATTTTCCTTCAATATTTCGTTCGCATCATAAATTTTAAAAGATATTGCTCTTGACTAACCGAATGATTCTTTCGACAATTGTGTCACCGAAATAAACAAAATGAAACGTTCCGTCGATCCGATGTTTTGTGTAATATTTTTCACATCGTAAAATGATTTATCGTTGTTTTTTTCTCGTCTCATTTCATGGGTGCGTTGGTGCATGTTAAATGCTTGTTCATGTTCTTTTTTTCGTTCACAATTTATTTATTTTTTCTCTTTGGTTCTGTGTAGGAACGAGCTGATGTTGAATGGAAATTCGCGAGGTCCAGACTGTGGATTAGTTATTTTGAAGAGGGTGGTAAGTGGCAATCGATTTAAAAATAAAACTTGCTAAAAAATTATAGATGTGAAAATGAGTGAAATGTTCGAGCAAAGTATAAAAAATCAGTACTTTTTTCGTGAATGGGTACAACAACAGAACAACAAGATGAACCGACCATTTTGCATAATCAAAATTCGTTTGTTCATGTATATTTTTCTTTTGATTTTAGGTACATGCCCTCCACCATTTAATATCATTCCAGCACCCAAATCGATTTGGTATATTTTTGAATGGATGAAAAAGAAATTTTTCGGCCGTTCAAAAACCATTAAAAAAGAGCACATGAAAACCATCCGGGTAAGTGTTTTCAGACACATCCCTTTTGCGCCGGCAGGGATTGTATTTCAT